TAGTCGCGATCTGAACGAGGATAACACTTTAATCTGGCTCAAATGATACCCAAGCATGGTCTTTTAAAGCTGGTCACTCTCACTGTGCCGCACTGCCAAGTCGAATGGATTCTAATAAGATTTTGAAAACTATCTAACGCAATTCTACGACTTCGCCACACTTGGGCGCCAAAGTGATAAGCATTCCAGCGGCACAAGTTCAAGGAACGGGATCAGGCTACTAAAATCGGGATTTCGTACAATGTACCGATGCTGTTCTTCATTAGCTGGAGTCAGGGATATAGATAATTATAACTACTTACAGGCTTCTCAAGCTTAGCGAGTGCGGGCACCTCTTCGTTAAACATGCTATCTAGAAAGTCCACAAGAAGTTTGTAGCCACTCCATTGCTCTCCTTTGCTAAGACCGAACATCTTGTTCGTGTCTCTTTTTTGGCGGATCATAGAAAGATCTCGCAGGTTCTCGTTCGGGAGTCCATTCATACACTCAAGAATTGTTATGCCAAGTTGCTCAAGATCCGCATTTGGCGTAAGCTCAGTGCTTACCCAGGCACAGTTCTCGAAATCTGCTCAACCCGTATTAAGCCCGAGAAATAACTAAAATGGTGTTCTTACATAGTTGTGGCTTTCCACTCCTTCCGCAGAGACGTATCGTGCTGATTGAGACAGAATTGTGGACGATACCGGCCTTCGCGATATGCTGTATAGCAAGAAATACCTATATCGTCAGCTTTGCAGTCAGGATTAATATAGCGACTTACTGCGCTTGCTATCACTTGTATGTCGGGCTCTTTAAGAAAGGTGTGAACATTTAGAACCTCTTCAAGAGTAAAGCGGGTGTAGTCGTATTGAAACAGCAAGGATGTCCTTGATTCAAAGACCCGCTTGATAGTCGCTACGTGTGGATGATCAGATATTGTTTTTACTTTCTCTAATTCCGTCTTTCCAGTATCAGGATTAACTTCTTTGATAATCACTAGGTGTCCTCCTTGAAGGCATAGCGATAGCTTTTGTTTTCCTTGTGTCAGATCCCCCAAATGCGATAAAGTCTCCCACGGGTTATGTAAAACACTAGCAGCTGGCTGCTTTGCCTTTTTCAAAGATCGTTCCATGAGCGCCACTGCAGTAGGCACTTGAGGCCGCGGTAGGCGTTGAAATGCCTCTCCTATAGAATTTGAAGCCATATCGAAGTTGTGATCCTAGTTTTGATCACAATTTTAGGAGCACAGGGGAGCGTAGATAGCCTTAGCCCACGTATGGGCATGATCTCAGACATACTTATTTGTTCAATTGTAATTACCCGGATTCCGTTAGCAGGAAACGGTGTTGGTATCATGGATCCTGGAACTGGTTAGATAACCAGAAACGGGTAACGGTTACGGTGTGTTCACTTGGAAGCGAGAACATAAAGCTTGAACCAGCAGCGCATGCCAAATCAATGCAGCTCACAACCTTAACACAACTGAAAAGCTACTACAAACCTCTTTGATTCATTATCCACTACACACCGCGGCTATCATGGAGGTAGACATGGCTGGAACAGCTGTCCCCGTGGACTGGCCAACTCTCCTACGGCGACAACAAGGAGAAGCGCAAGGAGCTTCCAACATTGAGCATCCTCGCAACTCATCCTGGCCTATCTCATCAGCAAGCCCCATCCGCAACTGCGGAACAGGTACGCAACCTGATCTATACCTCCAGCTTTCGCATATACTTGAATGGGAAATCTGGAATCACAATCAGACGCGCGACCATCTAGCTACAGAACGTGATAAAGTTAGCGAGTTAAATTCGCTGGTATGGAGACTCTCACAGGATATAGATCAGTGGCGGAGTGCATGCCAGCAAGGGTATGCGGCACTAGACCAGCACAGAGCTGAAAATGCGGAGCTAAAGCGCGCACTAGCAGAAGCAAGGGTACGTGGGGCAGCTGCGCGCTTAAATCCAGCTAATGACAGCCTAGTCCGCGTCAACTGAACAGGGCAGTGAAAACGCCTCGCTTGGCACTCCAGACATGACAACCCTGCCGCCAAGGCACAGTTTCCGAAAGCTTGCACCGATGCCGAAGATTGATACGAACGAATGTTCCTGGCGGCTCGGCTTTATCAAAGATGTCGAGGATCATGGCATTGCCAATTCTGTAGAGTAGTCACCTGAGTTTTCAGAGAGAAATTGGCACATTAAATGGATTGCATGTAGTAGGTACAAGCTATCATACTTGGGAACAAGCAAGCAAGCAAGCGTTCTTGCTTGGGAGTAAGCAAGCATGCTTGGTTGCTTGCATATTACGCTTGGTTGCTTGCCTATTCAGGCAAGCCAAGCGCCTCTCTACAAACCTGCACCAATGAAGTGCAAGCCAAGCGGGCTCCTCGAAATTAGCAACCAAGCGTAACAAGCAAACAAGCAAGCACGCTTGCTTGTTCCCAAGTATGCAAGCTATCGTAGTAGAGAAATTTCACGGAGTCATTCAGTCATGGGTAACTTTGCGTGACATAAATCATGAACCTCAACATACAGAGGAAGTAGCTATAAAGAGTGAGTATTGCTAAGGTAAACGATCACCCTAGGTGTCCGTGTGCTACAGATTCCGCGTTGCAACCCCAGGTCGATAATCTCCGTCATTCTCGTCGTCGTCATTTGGCGGCTGCTCTGTCATCAGCATTGTCACCTCTACTACTGCATACAATTCCTTCAGTGTAGTGTCTACATTGTCCACAAATTTCTTTTGGTTTGAACTTTCCAATCGCATGCGAAGGCTAGGCAATATATGCCTAAATTTACGATGCAATTTGGCGACATGATGTAAGAGTATGGTGCCTCCATTTTTCTGCACGTGTTTCTTTGCTCTGATCATCATCTTGTCGAACTTCTTGACTCTCTTGCTTTTGGCAAAGCATTTGAGTGCCTGCATTGACTTCCAGTACTTTTGGGCATTGATCCAAAGTTGTTGGATAGCCGTATAGTTCCTCCTCTCGAGACGTGCATCGGACCATTGGACCATACCATGTAGAACGCGTTGATGTCTGGATCGAGCGCGGCGTTGTGAACCTGGCCATGTGCGCCGATCTTTGGTAATATCTTCCATCTCATCGCTAGAGTCTTCGGAGTTGCTGGAGTCGTCTATAATGATCACTTCTCCGTTGTTTGTATCGGTGATAAGGGGTGTGTGGGACCGAGCAGCATGTTGTGAGCCTGACCATATGCGTTGGTCCCCGGCAGTGCCTTCCATCTCATCGCTAGAGTCGTTGGATTTGCTGGAGTTATCCAAAACAAGTACTTCTATGTTTTTTGTATGAGTCGTGATGGATACGCTATCGTTTGACCACTCAGCCCTCTCAGTATCATTTGGGACAACTTCCAGAGTGTCATGATTGGATGGACTGCGATGGTTCTGGAGCAGTGGACTACTTCTCATCTCTCCCAAAACGTCGGTGGCATCATGAGGGATGACAGCCCGCTCTTGGTACCCTAATAACGTCTCTTTCGGATCGATGTTGGAAAAGTATCCTGTTTGGTGCATTTCAGCAACCTCCGTTGCGTAGAAAAGTTCATCGATATTTTGATGTCGGGATGGATCACTTGCGAGCACCAAGTCTTCGTCCAGATGATTGTTTCCGGTAGCCTCACTGAGCGCTGTCTCCTGTTCAAGTGCCCAAGTAGCTTCATTCCAGTGGGTGAAGGCTTCCATAAAATCTGCTGGATGACTTTGAGTATTGAAAATAGAGGCATTTGAACTTGTGTACTCACCATCATGCAGCTCCTGCCCTGTAGAAATATCTACGGCTGAATCTGTGACGTGATGAATTGAACAAGGAATTGCTGCACGTGCATTTGCATGCACTGCGCCCTGATGCTTGTCGATTCTTCCGGGTGATAGACGCGCACCCTCCTTTTCCGCCGTTGAGGACAGCAGGTGGCCTTCAGGTGAGCAGAACAAGACGTCTTGCTTCTCGATCGTTGGTGCCGTTGGCAGCTGAGTGTGGCCTCCGCAAAGCATAAGTAATGTAGTAGCAGCATCAGCCATCTACTGTATTTAGCTAATGAAACCCACAAAAGCAGTAGTAGAGAGTACATACTTCGTCTGATGGATCTCTGTTACTTTTGGTTTGGCTCCAAGGTTGACCTCGAGCTTCAAGAGATTCCGACATGTTCGATTTATGTGTTGAAAGAGATACGGTGATGAGAGATTACTGGAGATTGTTGAGAGTAATGAGGATGGTGGTGCGGGTACTTTACTTGGGGAGAGCCGATAATTTATACGATGGAAGAAACAGTGATGAAACTGCAACGGCCATTCTAGCTATATATAGTCGATTGAATGCATGATAGTTTTCTTGTATTGGGTCTAGCACTATCTGTACATATCGTGTAGTCGCCCGGTTGACCCTGACATTCACCAATGGCAAGTTCCGCCTAACGCCTTTCCCTTGCATGGAGAGGCTATGGCTTTCCACGGCTCATACCCTATCACTTCGTTGAAATCTCAAAATAAACTTATTGGGAAGACGGAATGAGGTTAGTATTGAGGAATTGCATGAAGAGCTTGCCGCTGTCGGTGTGATATAACCTATGAGACTACATTCTTCAGCCCCCAAGAGCGCCGATGAGCGAACACCCCCGCTTTGCATAAACCAAGTGACGCAGCTGGCACTGTTCGTCCTGTCGGAATGCTCGGATTTATCAAGAAGACTCAGTAGGTGGGTATTGCGGCAACATAGCAAGGCAGACACAGTACTCCCGCATCAGACTGATTTCACTTAGGGCTAGCCTCAACACTTTCTGGCACTCAACCATTTCCACGTTCGAAAGCTGGACTTACTATTCGCTGGAAGCATGTCCACGAGGCATGCATCGTATCAACCTTCATGCTTATCCGCGCGGGCAATAGATTGCCATGCTCAAAGTGTCTTAGTATGGCTGATCCCGAGTTCTCTATATAAGGTGTGCTTTCTTCATCTGGACCCAAAGTATATGTTTCTTTCAAGAGATCTTTCTAACATCATGTTTAAGCCAGATCTCGAGGATTATATCACTCCTTCCCATGATATGTGCGTCGTTCAGGAAGATCTATCTTTTTCGTGTGCTGACTGCGATGCAGGGACAAAACGTTGATTCTTACCTTTGAATGGGATGACGAAAACAATTGTGCATTCATACACGATTTACAGCCCCTGGACACCTCGAGTACTATAGATACCTCCCGGAAAGGCCATTCAACTCTCCTTCCAGCCCCATCTCTCACATCACTATCTAAAATGTCGGAGAGCGCTCGACCCTGTCTAGAGCAATCAAAGTCCCGAGTTTCACGAGTTTCGCCTTTTCAATTGAGTTGGCTTCAAGACGATGGGATAGCTGACACACGTGTTTTGGTATCCTGCTCTGGACTTGTTCTTAACACAGATGGTATCCAATTCCAAATGTGCTTCCAGCCACAAAATCTCTCTGCACACAACGTCTTGAGTTTAGTTGCAAAGGTTGGCAAGGACCCGGGAGATGTGATACAATCACTGAATGGGAGAGGTGCCTTGGAAGACTTCAATCACGAGATACGTTATGCGTTACGTTCTGGAAATAGTTTGGTCGTGTGCTGGAAGGATGAAACGATGTCCTTTGAGGAGATTTTCGAGCGAGAAGCAGGTTGGCTCGTACTCGACTACCTGCTATCACTAACACGCATATCATTTCTTATACTTTTCTTCTTGTATTTATGTGGGTTACTCTTCTTTTCTTTAGGTATCATGATTTTGTAAATTACATCCTCAGCTACCCAAAGGACTAGTACTACACGTTGCTTTCGCGTTGAGATCGCACTTTGATGAGATATCCCTTCATTTTCTTCGCACTTTTACATAGCCAGAATATAAGAAATCCAATCACGATTATTAGAATAATACTAACAACGCCTATCAAGACTGGCCCTTGGAACTGTTTTTGATGTACACTCTTCGGAGACGATGCCGGCACCTTTGGCGAGATCTTGCCACCGATTTTCATCCTCTATTTTCTCTTGTTATCAAACTAGACTTTATGTTTATCTCGGCTTATACGAACTATATATAGTTATGGATTATATTGAATTAATTCAACAAAGAATAGGTAAAGGGTAGAGTAGGTGCTAGTGCTTTACTAACGAGTTAGCTACTTCACATCAAAGATTAGCATTGGAGTTTAAGTTCCTGGTACAATATACCTATGTTGATTTAGACGTTCTTCTCTCTTAATGCAGACGTGTTTGGTTAGTTGTGAGGTCGCGTGGACCAAGAAGCAGTGAGCCAGTGGATCTTGTAGTGCTTTTCAACTCAGAACGGATTTAGGAAGATAGTTTTGGGACCTGAATCTGGGCTTCGTAGCTTACAAGATAATGCTACGAACTGAACCAGAGTTCACAGCCTATTGCAATTGGTGTCCCTAGCTTATAATCTAGCGTACTAAAATCACGTATAGATATAGTTATAAATGTAAAGAGTTTCTAATTAGTGGAATGGTCAATCTTATAGTGCAGTTTGACTTAGATCGGTTTTAGGGAGCCTATTATGGGATCTAGATTTGGTTCTCGTGTTTCCAAGGCTGAAGGCTTAGTTACTATTATTAACATCACTTTCGGTGGCTGACCGCGTGCACTAAAATTACGAACAGTGACGTTTTTATATGCACATCATATTTTTTTTCACAATTAAACACATATTTACTGAATAAAAAATTCGATAGTATTCAGAAACTACATTACATGAAAGCTCCAACTGTCGTCACATCCGCTACAGTCTTTATGGGAGTTATGGGCAAGCTCCCAAATCTAGAGATACGTTAGATTTGCTACTATCAATCAAAGCTTACACTTCAAGTACCTCTTTGTCTCGGTAACAGTTGTAAAATAGAGAATCACCATCTCGTTCTACTGTGATGTATATACGCACATCTGAAGATAGTATATAGCACTCAAATGAAGCAAGACCCTCTTGACCTCTGGGACACGATTGCATAGCGTTAATGTTCACACAACATCCAGTGTGATAGACCTTCTTTCATGTCAGTGAATCCCAAGTTTGTAGGTGTTGACTTAGACATACGGTTGAAGGGGTATCGTGGAAGTGTTGTACAACTTCAGGGAATCCGAATGGCAGTTCAATCTCCTCATCAAATCGTGCTATACCTCGATGATGACACCTATGCACACGGAACATGGGTGGTTGAAGCTTTTCAGGGATTTGGGCCCAATCAATATGGGAGACGTTCGTGGGATGCGAATTCTCAAAGACTGGAGGGCTCGAACTCGAACCCATAGTATCCTTATATGGTTCATCGTTAGCGCGTATGGCTGGAAAGTTCAGTGTGACTGATCCTCCAAATTCTGCGCCATAACAAGTCCGTGTTATCGACGCCTGATCATGGAGCAGCAGGCCTTGAGGAGGCGTTTTTAGAGACACTGGTGCTTCTTCAGCAGCTCTCAAGGCCAGCTCGCTATGGACGACCCCAGATCCATGGACCAGATACCCTTCAGCAGAGTCTGTATGCTGAAAAAGGTAAGCATACATCCAACGGGAATTGTTTGCTCTTACTAATGGCTCAGTCACTTTGGAGTCGAAAACATTTACGTCATCATCATGCCGAATCTCTGTATAGACAGAAGCACCAGAAGACGTTGCATATCGACTCAAGATGAGGAACAAGATATCCTCTTCGCTCAATGGTCTGATCTGTTGAACAAATGATTGATATTCTTCAATAAAGCGCTCGACATGGGCAAACGCTTGGCTATGCTGAACTTCGATAACGTGAGAATTATCAGTAGGACAGCCAACACCCTAGAATCCTTTTAGGAGGGCTCAGTAAAAGGAGTTGTTGCATTTGCTTACCAGGGTATATCCATTTAATGAATCCCGCAAACACTCAAGATGTTCTCGGAAGTCAATCTGAGAGGGCTCCCCCTGAGTAGTGAAATTAGAACGATACTTGGCGTTCCGGACTCTCCACTGGCGATTCTGTGATGGGCCTTCCCCAGGGTATGGGGGCGGAGCAGGCTCTTGGCTCCTTTCCATATTATCGGGCGACTGAAGTGTCTTTGAAGTGAAAACGGTAATGTGATAACCAGATGACACCCGTGAACTCTATATTAAGTGGCAGAGAAACTAATATTTATTCTTCACAAAAAGCGCCCTGAGTTCAGGGACGGAGTTCGGTTACCTAAAACCGAAACGCGATGATTTTCGTGTCTCGTTCGTATTAAGCCACTCTATTTTAGGTGACATGCTCGCTTATTACTACTATATAGAGCTAGTTATTAAAGCCCAAATACAAGATATATAACCCCATGTTGCGCAACCCCACTAAGCAAACTATCAAACCAGGAAGATGTGCATCTTTATCATATTCAGGCGCTCTCACACGCATCATCAGTCCATTGAGGATAACATTTCCTTCCGGCAACAATGGGTAATCGCACTTCGAGGTTCCATCGGCAGCCTTTTTCGAAACCACCATAATCTGGGCCCTAGCCGACTAAGAAGGTCTTCAAGTCAATCACCCCCACCGTACCCGTACGAACACGCTTCAGGTAGTTCTGAAACCTCATTGAGCGAGGCGGAAACATTGCGGCCAACCCCCGCTGAGAGAAATGCTTCTCTCAACGTGAATATTATTGAGTCAAGCACGGCGTAATGGACAAGCCCATCATATCGATAATGGCATATTATATGCCCGGAAAGAAGAGGAAAAAAACACCATGTAGCTCGTTTAGCAATGCGCTCTTTCAAGCCTTATGTTCGTAGCAAATTGAAATCAGTGAAATGAGTCTTACTGTTTAATATCGAACAACTGCGCGTACGTGACGTCTCTAAGAAACTTCAATCATTGGAATACTTGCCCACACTGCATGAGTCAAGGTGAAGGAATCTCGGAACGACACAGGTACTTATGTGGCCATTGCAAATAAAGCACTCAGCGCTTATTCGTAGCGCCATGTGGCACAGGTGTAAACCTTGCAAAGACGTGCAGCTCCTGCGAAATGGAGTAAAGTAAGCGAGTTCGCTGCTTATGGAGGGGAATAATTGCGGCAATGAGAGCCTGATCCAGAAACGCCACAGTCGCAATCAGCGCTAACATTGAGCATGTTTTGACAAATAAACTCTTCGATAGCTGGGCAGATATGGTAAAACACAGGTCTTTAGTTAAAGGCTACCTAGGTACAGAAAAACCAACGTCACGTCCCACCTCAGACCACGTCCAAGTTAGATAGTCATACCACAAGTGCTGCTCGCGACTGCTACTTTGACGATGCGTTCATGTGCCTGTGATGTGTAAGCTTTGTCCTCGTTATGATTATTCCGCGTACCTCTGGTTCTGGGGCTTGATGCGAAGCCACATCGACAGAGTTGTAAACATAGAAGTTACCTCCATGTCGCACGGCTAGGTATACTTCAGAATCGGACATCGCACAAAGCTGGCTCGCTTTTCTGACTACTGTATTAAACCGGGCTTGCAGGTTTGGGGATCGCGTGTAGGCTCGTGACTGAGACGTTGCCGTTCCAACGTAGTGCGTCATGGCGTCGTTTCGCTAGAGCTATGAGAAACGCCAATATCATGGAAAGTATTCTTACAAATTCGTGCGTCGTGGTAGGTGGTGATACCGCCTTCTCGGAATTTGAACTGGAGTCATCATACGAGCGTCCCGCGGGGTCGAAGTCTAAGGGCGGTTGCGAATGAGATTCACATGGTTCTTCATCGACAACACTAGCAAGAGATTGAGAGAGCGCCTTGATAGCATTCTGCTTCTGACGCACAGAGGGCTTCGATTCGAAGGGATATGGAGTGAGAGGGTGATGCTGGCGGGATGCAGCAGGGGGGATGCTTAGTTGCAGTGGGGAACCGAGCATGCTCCCGCTCTGCCTTCTAGCGAGCTTGGTCTGTCGACGCTCTGAACGGAGAGGTGGTGTCATCATTTGTATGGTAGCTTGAAGTGATATAAGTAAATGCTGGAACGGAAAAATGCACAACATGAAGTCTTGATATAATATTGCAATATGAACAAGTATCCTCTAAACACGAATCTGTCCCTCGAAACCGATATCTGGTTTGCGTCACTTAATATCGAATTCGGATTTCGATCCTGTGCTTGCGGCATATGAATGCGCGTCTGGTTTGGTTGGCTAACCGCGCGCTACTCTTGCTGTGGGTCGTCATCGCAGGGCGATTTGCGCTTACCGGTTATTTTCGTGCCATGCAAAGGCGGTAATCCATGAACAGACACTGCATGTTCCCAGAACAGGTCTGCAGTGCCCAGGCTAGTTGCGCAAGAAGGATGAGGGCATTCCAATGGATAGAGGGCGTTCGTCAAATGATTTCTCATGTGTGTACGTAACGCATTGTGTTGGAAGTACTGCTTAAATCGAGACGTGAGGGTTGCCTCGGTGTTGCCGATGCAAAACAAGCAAACGCCTGCGACTAGGACAGCCCCGTTTCGACGAACTAAGCCGCAAAAGTTGTTCAACTGGGGAAGGTGGCTCTCCTCTAGATGCGCCTCCCACTGCGAGTCTGAGCAACACCATATGTTATGCTCAAAGCAGTATCGTATATTTGTGAGTGTGGTCCATTCATCTGGCGCGCCGTGCTTCTTGGCAACATGGCATGATAATACCGCATGGCTGTCGTAGGTCTCCCGGCATCCGTCCCACAAACATTGGTAAGATTCGTTCTTCAAGACGTGTTTGAGCATATGGAGTGAGCATGTCTCAGGCTTTTTGCCCTCAAACTTGTAATGGCAATCGTTCCAACGGCATAAACGGGTGTTTGAAAACAGGCTGGTCATACGAGCTCGTCCATGTTCCAATCGCCGGTCCCTTGCGCAAAATAGCAGATGTTCATTCACTCGGTCTCGACGTTCTCTAAAAAAGCAATTAGTACATCTACAGTGTTGTAAAAGCCGATGCGCATACCCGTCCAATTGCTTCTTACAGAAGCTGCAACATCCGTTTTCGATAGTTTCTGCGCTTCCGTATTCGAAATGCTGTTTGTGTCCATTTGCGATACTTTGAAGTGAGTGGACTATTTGCTCAAGTGAAATACGAGGTTCTTGAGTCGAAGTTGTCATCTCAGCTGCCTCGTAGTTCTCGTGATCAGGGGTCTCGTTGTCCTTGCCATGCTGATTACCATCAGACTTGAGGTCTGGATACATAAGCATCACAGCTTGATAGCGGTTCGCCTCAAGCTTCAATAATGCCTTGAGATATCGAGAGGGCGTTCGGGTACCGTCACTCGATGTTGAGCTAGTCGTAATAGACCTGCCCTGGAAAAACTGCTGCCGCTCTTCTTCGAAGGCTTTCCTCTGCATATACTTCCGCTTGTCGTGTGGAAGGTCCGAATCATGGTGACTTGCATTCAGTGAAGTTGTGTCTGCTAGCTGGGATCTAGGAGGCATAGGGGCTAGTAGGTTTCGGTTCAGCATCATCGAACTGTGGTTGTTGATGAGCTCCATGCGCTGATCTCTCCCTTGAACGACACTTTGCGAATCGATCCCGATCATGGAAGAAATATAGGTCTGGAAGACATTTGGGTTGGCATGCCCCATTAGCTGCTGTCTCTGTGCAGTTGTGACGGTTTCTGTGGCTGTTAGTGTGTGTTTAGAGCTTTAAATATCCAGACATACTGTCAATCGCATTTCCATAACCACGGCGAAAGCAGTACGCAGTCAGTTTGTCCTTGTAGCCTGCTCTCTGCCCCAAGCTTCGGATCATCCAATGGAAGCCAAAGTAGGTTAGTATTCTTGTCGGCGAGATCGACCCGTCTTGTTGGCAACACCGTAAGATTGGCAAATCTCCTACATCCGCATGATAAGGAAACTCGCAATAGGAACTACCAGGCGACGGTTTCCTAGACTGGAGGTCGGAGAGTGTTTCGCAGCCTTCAAAGACACCATCTGCTAGTGCGAGCGCCAGGAAGTATGTGACCGGACAAAGCGCACGATCACCTGGCTCCTCAGTGAGAAGCATCAGTGCACTAAGCTCTGGTCAGCATTTACCTCGAGGAGCGCGGAAAACATACCCCTGCTTATGATTATGCCTATGGCCTTTACGGTTCCGAAGTTGTACATGTAGTATGAATCCCCCGTCAGCTTCTGAAGACCTAAGCAACTTCACATCGCGATAAAGCAGTCCTTCATTCGAGTTCTTCCAGTTTGATGATTCAATAAACTCCCCAGGGCGCATTCCCATCAGAGTCAACATCAAAATGGAGAAGGCAAGTTGGAGACGTACGCGAGGATGATGGAACTGGTATTCATCGCACACCCACAAGAAGCGAATGACGTCCTTGCTCACATTTAGTGGTGCTAGAGGCTTGTCATACGCCTTTGTTGACAAACCTTCAGTTCGAGGAAGCTCGTTCTCAACGAGTTGAGTAAATTGGCTGTTGTCGGCTTTACTGTAGATGTGGTTGGTAAACAGTCGAATAGCTCGTTTAAGACATCGAAGACGGTTTGCGATCGTTGTGTCGTTGATTTTCTCGTCAATCAATCCGTTGCTTGTCCGAGTATACCAAGTAAGAAACACCATGATCTGGTTTGCCGGTGGAGGCTGTGGAAAGGGTTTATCTTCCTGCACACTTGTACCCAAGACCTGCTGCGAGAACCTGACTTGTTAGTTGCGTCTTCAAATCTTGGTGTCCACTTACTCTATCCATAGCTTGATTGTGTACCTGTGTTGCTTCAAACTCTCGGGAATGAGCGATTTCTCTATCTCTTCTGCAGTAGCTTCGCGGTTCTCCTCTTGTTGGGCGAGCGCTTGTAGGTCATCTACATTGATGGGTCTGCTAAGTTTCTTCCTTCCGCGCATGTTGGGGATACGGATGAGCCTCAGCAAGTGAATACAGTAACAAAAGGTTTGATATTGATATATTGTAGGTAGGAAGTAGCACAAGTGACGCAAAAAAGGAAGGAAGAAAGGAAGAAAGAAAGGGGGAGAGGGGGTGGGAGAGGAAGCCCAAGGAAAGTGAGAGGGCCTCCATTTTGCGACCATGTACCCACTGAGGCTTTCAAAACAGCGTCAACTTTTGCATGGAGTATCTTTCTCTATGCTACTAGTTACCGAAATAGGTATTTAGTATAGCTTGGCAGGCTGTAGTCCTAGAACGGGTTTGCGTAACTGTAATAGGAAACTTAGTATGGCTTGGCAGGCGGTAATCCTAAAACGGGTTCACGTAGAGATGACAACCGTCACAGTATTCACTATACTACTGAAGATGTCGAACAGGATCTTGTTGACCCGATTGATGAAAGACAGACCAATCATATGGTATATTACCTGTTACATTTTGTTGATAGAAAAGCGAAATATCGTGGTTTTGTTTGATGTCTTTTTTGTTAGGCGGGATCGCCGGAGGTGTAGTCGGCAAGGGAAAAGTGGGGTAGGGCTGGTAGGGCTGGGCTAGTGGAAAGCTAGAGCCCTGCTTGGCCGCAAATTGCCGAGTTGGTAATGCGGGTACTTTTGTATTTGTAGAAAGAGGTGGGCAGCGGGCGGGACTCGTAGCGAATATGTTAAGAATGCAAGTGCTGTATCATAGTCGTCAGATCCGTCTTATCAA